TCTTGGCCTGGCTCCCTGGCCCCTTCCTTCCCCTTGCACGCAGCCCAGGAGCACTGGGGCGGCACAGGCCCGGGAGGTGCCAGCTGGGCCTGGCCCCGGCACGGCCCTGCTGCACGCGGCCAGGGAGCTGGGCGTGCGCCGAGCGCCCGGTGCCCGCTCTGCGGCTGCCTGCGCGTGGGCGTGCGGCCCGTTGCTCCGTGGCGGGGGTGGTTTCCTGCCTGCCGTGTGACATGACCCCCCTCTGCTTCTCTCTCTCTGTCTCCCTGCCTCCCTCCCTCGCAGGGTCCGAGTGCAAGCCATGCTCCCGGGAGTTTGCTGCTGGCAGCGTCCCCACCTCGAGCTACAGCACCCCGGACTCCCTCTCCCCGGCTCTGATTGCTGAGGATGAGGATGACACCTTCTTTCCCGGCCTGGCCGAAGAAAAGGCAAGTGCGAGTGTGCCCGGCACCCCGTGCCTGGCCTGGCTGTGCCCCATGTGGCCCACCCAGCAATGCTAACTGTGGCTCCCTTGGCAGGAGGACGCGTCTTCTCTGGAGCTGGGTGCCGCGCCGGACGACGTGCACAGCAGCGCCGAGGACCTGCTCTCCATAGACTCTGCGCTCCACGGCACCGAGTACTACCGGGACCTGGGCTTCCCCACGCCGCCGGAGGCTGGAGTAGTGCCAGGGCCACCCGTGTCTGGCTTCCCTGCAGCAGAGCGGAGGTCTGGCTTCTCAGCAGAAATGTCCCAGGATACCGCCTGCCCTGCCCGCGTCCCCTGCTCCTCGGCTTACCAGGAGGCCGGATGCCACTTCCTGAACAGCAACTGCCACTGCTCCTGTGCTGCGGGAGCCCCGGCTGGCGCTGCCGGGGCTGGGAGCCTGGCGGGACCCGGGGCAGGCCTGGAGCCGCAGGAGGATGAAGACTCCTTCCCCACCCTCGTGAGATCCATGTCCACCTCGCGGCGGCACAGCTGGGAGAGCCCCTTGTCCCCCACAGAGAGCAGGCGCAGGTACACGGACGGGGCCAGGCCTTGCCCCCTCGCCCGAGCCCCGCTGCCCGTGCGCTTAGCGGGACGCGAGCCCTCGTGGAAAGGCTGGGCGGGACGTGGCCCCTGCGGGACAGCTGGGCCCATTGCCCACCTGCAGCTCAGCACCAGCCCGCCAGCATGACCGTTCCTGGGGCCCAGAGCGAGCAGGGTCCCTGCCAGGAGCCCCTGCCCCGGGGGCAGGAGAGCCTTGGGGCCCAGCTCCGGAGGGCACGGGGCAGCTCCTCTCCCCGCCAGCCTGCCCTGAGCCCCATGGCAGGAGGGAGACGGGTGCTCGGCTGAGCCCGGCCAAGGGGCGTCCCTGGCCTGGTGCCACCTGCGACGCTGGCCGCCAGGCCGAGGCCTCCGGCTCACGCTCGTGCTCCGTGACGGATGCATCGATCTGGCGGGGAACCGGCCTCGGCTATTTTTATCCCCCACCTTGTAAGGTGTCTTGGCATTTTCTGGGGCCAAGATCTGAGCCGCTCTTTATCAAACCCAGACCTCAGCCCTGCAGCCCCTTGCTCCACATGCCGTGGCCCATGCTGTGACAGCTTGCGGGGCCTTGCTCGGTCCCATGCAGGGTGCTTCGCACGCGCGGGTGCAGGGCCCAAGGGAGCTGCTGTGTCGCCCGTGTGCATTGCACGCTGAAGCCCATGCCCAGCTGGCAGGAGTCACGCTGTGCGATTTGGGGAGGGCGGCTTTCCAGCAGGGCCCGCTCATCACCGCACCTCGGCCACCAGCGTCCTGACAGGCCCAGGCACCGGGAGCACGGCCTTCCTTTGGAGCCGCGGGGGCATTGCCGGGACGTGCCCGAGAGCTGGTGCCTGTTGCCTCTTGCTCCATCTCGTCTCCCCTGCCGTGGCCCCTTTGCCCCTGGGGCACTGGGACTCCTGCTCCCGGGTCCGACACGTTTCTGCTCCCTGCGTCAGGTTCAGCCTGGACACTGCGGCGATGGGCAGCGACCCAGAGCAGGATGAGGATGAGAGGAGCCTGCCCTGCTCATCCCTGGAGCTGCCGGCCACACGTGGCAGGCTGGAGGCCAGGAGCAGCGCTGCAATTGAAGTGGAGATAAAGCCCTTGTGCCTGGATCTGCCTGTGGGCCTGGGGTACCAGGACGTGGTGAGTGGGCACGAAGCCGCGGCCAGCTGTGCTGCCGGCAGGGGCAGGACAGGGAGATGCTGAGCTGTGCAGCTGCAGTCCCTACCAGCGCTGCTCCCAGGCCCCTGGGCCACCTGCGCCAATCCTCGGCAGCTGCCTCGAGCTAACAGCTCTGATCCTGGGCCTGTGGGTGCGACGGGCTCCCTTCCCTGGCAGCGCACGTCTGGAGTGAGACGGGCTGATCCCGGTGCCCTGGATGCAGAAGAGCCGCATGCCGGAGGCCCCCGGGAGCCAGCTGGGTGCAGGCCAGCCCCACGCCAGGCCGCCCCAGTGGGCTCCGTTCAGAAGGGCCCCGTGTGGCTCCTGGCACCTTGGTGGCAATGGCCCTGCAGTCTCGTGCTGCTGCAGGCAATGAACCTGCCAGCCCAGCCCAGAGTGCCCCCAGCCAGCCCCGCTCCCCCACAGCCCAGGCCTGGGGAAGGGCAGCTTTGCACAGCATCTTGTCACGACCCTGGTTAAACCAGAGCAGGGCAGGTAAGCTGCCTGGGCCTGGGGCTTGTTTCCGGCATAACCTGTCCTCGAGGGCCTGGCTCTGCACAGGCTCATGCCCCTCCACCAGGCGTGACAGTCGGCCACAGGACTCTCCGGCTGCCCACGGGTGCTGGAGGCACGGCTGATCCTTTCCTCTCCTCTCTTAGGAGTGTGGCAGCAACAGGAAGAGACTGAGGTCCAAGTCCATCCCTTCGGCCTGTGAGGGGGTTCCCCCCCCACGACTGTCCCGGGACCTGGAGGCCTTGCTCCCGGCTGCAGAAGGTTGGTAAACACCCAGCACCACGTAGGGCGGTTCTCCAGTAGTAGCCGGGAGCTCACTGAAGAGATCCTGTAGCCCCCTTCTCTCTCCAGCCCCCGCCTTCCCTGGACAGCCACCTCAGGGCTCCAGCAGCAATGTCCAGATTCCCCTGGCAGCTGCATGCAGCGCCGCGTTGCCTGATGACGTGCCCATGGCCCCACTGCCCACGTTCTCTGTCCTAGGTGTCCAACCTCCAGTGCTGGAGATGATGGAGGAGGATCACGTGGCCCCGGACCATGTGTAAGTGTTGGCAGCCCAGGCATGGGGGGGCCGGCTGTTCTCCAGAGCTGCTCGGGACTAGCTGCAGCCTGGACCCAAGGGAGTAGGAGACAGCAGCACTGTGCACCAGGATGGCGCATGCTGTGTCCTGCGCACCTGCCAGCCTGGGCAGAGGCAGGCTGTTCGCTGGCTCTTGTGCCTAGGCCCAGGGCTGGGCTGGGCTGGGCACGGCAGGTGGGCAGTCCCTCTGACACCCCCTTCCCCGCAGGCTGATCGTCCAGCAAGTGCTCCAGGAGCTGAAGCAGTTGCACGGGTGAGTGCGCGGCCAGGGCAGGACCCGGGCTGGGCCGCAGCAGCTTGCCCCACCACTCGCAGAGCCTCTGGGGCTCCGGGGAAGCTGCCCTGCAGTGACCGCGGGCCCCGGGAGCCCAGGGGCAGCGCGCCAGGCCTCCCTGGAGCACAGCAGTGCTCTCCCACGCAGTCCACCCCGTGCTGCTTCAGCCCAGCAGCTTGTCCTGTTCCTCCTGCGCAGGGCCAAGCAGCGGGCGCCCGAGGGCAGCGATGAGCCACAGCAGAACCTCACCTGGTTCGAGTTCCTGTCGAACGAGTAAGTGAGCCTCAGCTGAGCTGGGTGGCATTTGTGGCCCCCCAGCAGCCTGTGCCAGGGCCCAGGGCCCCGTTCCCTGCTCCTGCCCCTCCTGTGACCTGCTGCCGACGGCCATCCGTGCAACAGTGGTTCCTGCGGCCCAGCCACGACCGGCCCGTTCTGCAGAGCTGCGCTGGCCCCTGCCAGGGAAGTTTCCAGCCCAGAGTTGGTGATGCAGGGGGGTCATCCTCCTCGCAGGCGTACTGAGGCACCCGGGGTTATTGGTTGGGTCAGCACCTGAACCCAGAGCTTGTGGGAGCCCAGCTCCTTCCCCCAGGGCAGATGACCTGCCAGGAACCTGGTGTTCAGGGGATTTGGGAAACAGCCTGGCAGGCCATGAGGCAAGCTCTGTCCTGGCAGCAGGGCAGGGGTCTGCCTGCCTTCTGCGGCTCGTGCTTAACCCCTCCTCACCTGAGACATGTCTCCTGCCTCGTGGCAGGAATGAGGACAGCGGGAAGAGCGATAAGGTGGAGAAAGGCACCACGGTGATGCGACGCCTGAGTTCCCTGCGGAGCCGCGTCACAGGATCCTGGCAGAAGGATAAGGTGAGGGAGCCGGGCTGCACTGTCCCGGGGAGGATGTGGGTGCCTCAGGGCCCTGGGCAGCTCCCCAGGCTGCTGCTGGCTGCGGGGCAGCCTGGGGAGGGGGCTCTGCTCAGGACAGACCCCTCGGAGGCCAGGCCCCTGCCCAGAGGCTGCGCGGAGGGGCACGGGCTGGCACCCGGAGGGCCCTGGCCCCTATCAGTGGGTCTGGGCAAGCCCTGGGGATGTGCACACAGCAGGGCCGCCTGCCCGTGTGCTCCGGGGTGGGGGCCACGGCATGGTCCTGCTGCTCGGTGCCAAGAGCCTGCTCCCTGCTTCCCCAGGGTAAGAACAAAGAGCAGCAGAGGGAGAAGGAG